CAGACCGCAACATTTGTTCCTGGCGTTTCAAATTAAACAGTTATAATGAAACAGGGGTTCCAATTCGAGTGAGATTTAATCTAGTTGCTAATTAATACGTGTAAGGGAATTTAGTAATTTGTGCGGCACATCGGGGAATTAATTGACGCAAGTTTGGGTATTACGTTTATCAAATTTAAGATCGTTATTTCTACATGTTAAATATGTTATAGGTACGATTTTTATCTAAAAATAAATGAGTTCTTGATAATTTTACAATTCTGTTATAACTTCGATAATGTTTTTACTGTAAGCAGAATCGCTTACGAGATGTAATGTACTCTATATTTTGTTATAATACTAACTGATATGGAGTTAAATATATCGGTAAAATAACATTATGTCCAAGCTCCTTTGTCTAAGTTTAAGTATAGTTGAACATGCTCTTGTATGTTGACAAGAACTTCTTACAAATGCAAGTGACCCCTATGGAATTTGATCGAGTTTTTCTACCGATACGATAGCTTATATTACTAATTACTTTATTACGTTACTAATATTATAAATACGAAAGTTTCGATGGATGGATGGATGTTTGTTAGAGTATGTAGCTTAAACGGCTGAACGGATTTTGATGAAATTTCGCATAGATGTAAAGAATAGTCTTGAAGAACACATAGGCTATTCACTTTAGTTTTTTTTTAATTTCACGTGGACGGAGTCGCTGGCGAAAGCTAGTATTTTATAGTTAAAAAATCTTTTCTTTGATAATAATGTTATCATGTATCGTTTAAAGTGTAGATTTTTTTACTATTAATTCATAAGTAATCATAACATGTTTTTCTCTTATTCAACTCGTGTATGTTAACGACCCTTTAACATATACGTCAATGTTTTCATTTAATTTAATGAATTATTCAAATATTGAAATGCCTCAGCATCATTTGAGAACATCCCACGCTTTCACTTTCTAACCCCCTACCTCCATTTTGAATATCAATTATAAACACACAAATACTTCATATGAACATATTAACTACTAGCTTTCGCCCGCAACTCCGTCCGCGTGGAATTAAAAAAAATAAAAGGAGGCTTTGTGTTCTTTCACACTAGTCTCTACATCTACGCCAAATTTTATCAAGACCCGTTCAACAGTTTAGGCTACACTTTCGCATTTATAATATTAGTATGAAAGTATGATTGTTTCTGTAGTATGCGTTTTCACTGCTGAAAATATCATTTTAGGTAAGATATACATTAATAATAATTAGTTTATAAAACTTTACAATAGAAGATCAATCAGTCACTCATTCCACTTTATTTGAAATGTTATCAAGAACTTTATTAAATGTTTATTATACTTGCTATTGATTGAAAATAAACTTATTCGTAGCTTACGAAAAATTTCTTATAACAAATTTATCAATATTAAAAAAATCCACTCACAAAATCGTGCTCCGAGAAAAAGTAATTTAAAAGGAATCGGTAAAACGCCTATCAGCAACAGGTGACCTTTCCCCTTCCAGCTTTATAAATCTTCAACTACCATAAGAAAATTGACATACCCTGCTTTTGATTGAATCCAATTCATTTCTTACTTCGTTTAAAAAAAACGGTAAATGAAAATCGTTGTGCGCCAAATGGATTATTGAATTCACATGAGCATGCATATCTTTGTCATGGACATAAAATTAATTGATGTAATAAAATCTATTAATCTCTTTATTTTTTTTTAAATCTTTCTAAATAAAATCGCAGTTCAATTCTCTGTAGAACCAAATGTATCATTAATCATTAAGCAAACTACACTCGCCTTTTGCATTTATTACATAAAAAGAAAATCATTTGAAGTGTCGGCTCCCGGGGGAAAGATTTATGAAGACAATAAACTCGACGAGACCACTTAGAAGTTTCACGCAGCAGGTACGAAAATTTCGGCGGGGCGTTAATATTCGGCAATTTATTGTGGGCGAGGACTGATTTGAAAGGCAAAAAGGAAAATGCCTTAAACTTGGAGACGGATATTGGGAATGGAATGGGATTGTTGGATGAAATTGTTTTCTTAGCGGGTGTTGAAGGCGGGAGGTGCGGGTGTCGAGGTCCTCGTGAATGGGATGTCTGCGTGTAGCCGCGGCGAGGTGTCGGAGGCTGCAGGTCGGGCCCGGAGCGCGATCGATCGCACGCTCTGCGCAACAAGTGCCCGACGCCCGCCGTTCGCTTCGATACACACGGACAACAAAAATACCGAGTAAAACATTTATATTGTCTTATTATTTCTACTAATAATGTACTCGAGTTGGCAGAGCGTTTGCTTAGAACTTATGTAGTCTGTGAGTGTGCTGTGTACATTGTAAGCCTACTATAAAATAAAACTGATGTCTGTCAACACATAACAAGACAACGATGTTCCTGCTTTAGTTTCACTGTTGCCCACTGGGCCAAATAAATTTGTCGTACTAGAAGTCTATGGTTTGGAGCATCAGTGGTGATGATCATTGTCTGCCTACCTTTTAATTAATAAAAGAATAAGTAGGGAAATAATCATGACTTTAATTTCCACTTGACACAGTTGTGGACAAACCTTTGCGTTTGAAGAATATTTTGGGGACAAAAAGATATTAGTTTTAGTGATTAATCATATTAAATTTTAAAAAAAGATTAATGAAAGATAAAACAAAATCATTGTCAGAAGTAAATATATTTATTTAGAGATATAGTTCTTGATATATTCGGTACAAATCACACATACAATTATGTTCTACGAAGTTTATACGATAAGTTGACAAATATTACAAGTATTTTTATTCATTTATTGAAGAAAATTCTATGATTTAAAAATTTTGTTAACAAATTCAATAGATTTCAAATCCTTTTGTGCTAACGGCTTTTCATATTCTATGGTAGATAATTAAAATATGGTAGAAAGAAATTTATGAAGTTTCTGGAAGACTTCAGTAACGAAATTGGAATATTTAGTTATTTCAAGAAGCGGTATACAATGCTGATTTTGAATCAAGAGATCGAATTCACTAATATATATTTAATTTATTTTGAATAGTAATTTAAAATGGAATGACATTTTTTTTCTATTTAATTACATTATACGAGACAATTTGCTACTTTTTATATTTTATTTAGTTAAATATGAATATTACAAAATAATAAAACTACGTGTAAATTATAAAGGAGAGATTAAAATAAAATTGGGATATTACGAATTAAGAATACTAGATTAAAAAAGGCACATCCATAAAATTTAATTTTAATATTTACTTCTAAATTATAAAATAAAATAAATTTATAAAATTTGAGCTGTTTCGACTTTACGGCATATACCTAATTGTAAATTTACTATTAATGCTGTTGTATTTTTATTAGGATAATGCAAGAAATAATCTTTTTTCCGAGAAGAGTGATGAATTGGACACTTTAAAATCCTTCACAACTTATTACCTGATTACGAGAAAACGTTATCATCACTAGATTCAGTTTTAGAAAAAAAAATTGCAAATCTTACCCATTACGTAAAAACTAAAGCAATTATTAACGCGACGATATAGATTTAACATATGAAGTTGTTTAAATGACAAAAGTTGTTGCTCGCAGTATAAAGTTAGGAAAATTAATTACTCGGTCATGTTGAAGGAAGTCGTGTTTCATAATTAATATATTCCATCTTGTGTGAAAACAAACTTTTGGATTAACCTTTGAAACTGTTCTCATATTTTCAATTTAAACGATCTATGTCAAAAAAGGCAACGTTATAATTTTAACAGTGGTAAAACCCGCTTTGATATCTTCGCACGAATGGGCCGGCTCGTCTGGTGTAATAAATACCACGATCACACAGAAGACAGGCGTGAAGAGGAAACAATTCTGCGTTTCGTCTGATGTGTGTGGTGCCTGAGGCCTAATTTCAGTCCCTTTCCCGTTCCACCCTTTCTAAGGAAAGGATTGGATGGGAAAGTAGAGTTGACTTTGGAGGAGACGTATAAGAAGGGGGAAAATCCTCTTTATGTGCATTACCACCTCCGTCAATTTAGGGTAGACAACGCATCTGCAATTAGGGATGTCTATGGGCAGCAGTCGCTTCGACATTGTGGCGGATTTAGGTGGTTGATTGCACGGTTGCCACTGTTGTACATAAAAATAACACTTAGACATTTCCTAAAATGTGTAGATAAGTAACTTTAATATTAGTTGATCAAAATAACATCTTACGCCAATCTCAAATAAGTGTTCTCGTTTTAGTTAAGATGATTTAGTTCATTTTAATAAATGCGAAAAGAAAGTTTTGATTTTTACGAGGCCCGCGGGTCTGGCCTTAATTTACGAGAATTATCATGTCTGAGACATCTCATTTCGTTCTCGAGACTTTGTCCCCGAAGGACATACAACGTTCTCGTGACAAAGAAGCTGAGAATTACTACAAATTCAGAAAAAGTAATATTTCGAATTGATACTGGATAAATATAAAAAGACTTTTATGGTCGATTTCTACTACTCACGTACGCATAACTTATTTAGTTATATGAATAAAAGTTTGGTTTATTTTCTATTTAGAAATGATCTTTTTACTTACAAATGTTTGTGCCTCTTTTAAGAAATATTGCGTATAAACACTCAACTTATGAATTATAATTAAATACATAGTACACTGTATACATTCAGTTAATCAGAGAGTCTTATTTAATAGTAGAATAATAAAAGATTTACTTACAACAAACCAGTCACATTACAAGTCACTCTAAGTTTTATCACCTTTCCATACAAATTTGAAGAAAAACATTTATCTAAATATTATTTGCACTTAGCATTGGCGTTATCTTATTTTATTATATAAATGAAAATGTATTTCTTCGTTATGCAATGAAATGATTAGTGCAATATAGGATTATGGATAAACAGTATTCGTTAGTTGACTAAGACAACAGTATAAGAGACACGCACATTTTTTACTAAACTATCGCACAATTGTTTAGTCTCGCTTTGATTATGAGTTTATATGGAGGTGCGCACACTGATTATTAGTTGTGCAACAAAACAGTTGAATGGGCTGCGAAACAATCGACAATCGCACAGTATAACACGCGCGGTAGTTGAGTCAAAAGTGGCAGCCCGATCTAAGTCAAATCTTAGACCAAATGACATGAAACACGGAGTAATATATGTAAGTAACCAAAATGTCTACAAAATAATATTTCTAGGTTATATCTAATGACATCAAGGAATGTAGTATACAGTTAAATGAAGATAACAATTACATTTGACACACTTATTCTAATAATGGACTAGAATACATTTAAGAAATGACGCAAGAGTTACGTTTGCTGTTAGCGTGGCGCTCTCGTATCTGCTGTAAGTGCGCCAGTTGTGCCGGCGAGGGTACATGGGGTTGCGCTGGTGATGCAGAGCTGGACCCCGGTGGACCCTGGGGTCCAGTGGGCAAAGACTGACGTCGTCTCCGTCGAAGCGCTGGTGACAGGTTATATTTAACCTTGGCCTGGACGAGAAGCTCCTTAAAGATTTGGGATACGTTAATGTTGTCTTTCGCTGAGGCTTCAACGAACCCGTTCTCCCAGTCAACTGTCACCACAGACTCCGTTGTATGGAACTCAACCTGTAATAAATCCATTGTGGAATTAATGTATCATTCTAAATTAAGAGGTTTTTAATTGATATTACTATTTCGTAGCGTATTTGTTTTTATTGTTGCGCCCTGTATAAATTATCGATTGGTATGTAAGTTCAGCGGAGTTAATTTATTCTAATTATAGCTGAACATGCGGGCGTCGGAGCAGAAAACGCACAGAGGTGTTGAGTACATCTCCCGCGGGCTGCGAGCCGACAATATACGCTTACAAACAAAATAATAATTCTTACAACATTGCTTGCATGTTCAGTACAGTTGCATTGTATACTTCGTGTATTACACTGATATCGGGGTTACAATATTTTTGCAATAGTTGTAATGTACGATAACGTAATTTGACATTATTGATGTTGTTTTCGAACTAGTGTGTCCTGACGTGAGTGAAATCTGTCGTGAATTCTGACGGATACGAGTTCGCACAATATGATCGCAGTTAAATAATTTTTATTAAAAAACAGTTAATTAACTACTTGTTCTTTTTCCTGTTTTTAAGTTAAAGAACTAACGTAAAATTGGTTCTAGTTTGCGAGGTGTGGTGTGTAAAATGTTGGTCATGTCCGATGTATTTCCGACATGCAGACGTCATGTTGCAGCACGGCACGACACGACACGGAATACGACACGTCACGACTCGGAATACGACATTGTATCAATCACGTAGCGGAAATTAAATCCGTGTTCCAACTAATATACAAGTCATAGGTAAATTATCATCGTTTTCAGAATAAGCCCCCGACAGCTACGCTTCTAATAGGATTTAATGCTGACTGCGCTTGTTTATTAGCAGACGAAATTAATTAACGCTAATGAGAAAGTTCAGTCACGCTTAATCAGTGCATTTGTATTTGAACCAGCTCTTAACTGTTTATACTTATTTGTTAAAATTATTAAATTTCTCCGAAATACATTTTAAAGTGTTCCTTGCAACAAAAACTGTTACGTACAACATATATAATACATTAAATTGTAAATATTATGAAAACAAATGTATATGTAGGCTTACTCTATGCCCATGGCGAACAAGGAGCACTGGTAGGGCGGCCATTTTGTCATTCGAGTCAGTTCGATTTGAGTTGCGATGGAGTGCGTACGCGACCATGTGTTCGGTGTACGTCAATTCAATATCTTAATCGAAAGATATCGTTACGATCTATAATTATTTAGTGGAAATATGAATTGTGATATTGAGGATTACGACTAAACCAACTATCAAGACGACTATTTTGTTGAAATACCTAAGTACCACGCCTACAAGACAATGTCATAAATCACCCAATATTACCCGATGTTAGTCGAAAGACTTCATATATAAAAAATTATAAAACAAAACACTTCAGCTTTTCGCGTAAACATAATGGCGTTCCAGGAAAAGAATTTATTCCGTGTTCAAAATATACCAGCGAAGTAGTGGCATTAATTATCCTGCGTACTAAGCCTCTTCTCATCGCTCTTTCCTTTATTTCGCATGTTTTTGTGATCCCTTCTTAATTTCTGCAATTCTCCGTAGGTAATATGAGTCATTAATTTTATGGTGTACAAGTTACATTAATGTTTATTTTACTAAAACAAACAATGAGTTCTTATTCTCGAAGAGTCAAACTTGAAACGTTATTTGGTAAGTAAATATGAAAGTTAGTCGAAGGTTTTCCACGTACGAGAGTCGCTCGACAAATAAAATCTTAAGACGAAACGAAACGTCTTTGTTAAGGGTTTAATTAGGTCTTGATTCCGAGAAGAGTTTGTTTGCGAATTAACAGAGAAAAGTAATTAATTCTTTGTGAAAATAAGGATCATTTACTCAGTGTCATTTTTACAACAAAAAAACATTTGACTCGATGTACTACATTTCATTTTATATTATTGACTCTATCGTTATAAACACGATACAGCGATCGTAGGAGGTCTGGAAAAAATGACATAGGCTCTGTATAAGGATACATCCGTCGCCACCGACAACTCATGTGTTAGTATAAGTAAAAATTTTGTTTTGTAGCAGTATAATTGTATTTATGAAAAAAATAGTGTACATTAAAGAAAAAAAAGGAACTCACTAGTGTTATAAGGTTTACGCAACAAAAAAAAAGAAATAAGAACAAACTGTACAAAAAAGAGTACCGACCAAGAGTCTGTAGAAGTTGAAAAAAAAATACAACAATTGGCTGATCTCTAAAATTACTTGTTAAAACAATGGTTTTTGCTGACTTCAAATTCTATTCAACGTTAAAAGCTCTTACCTCTCTTTCTCCAGTTTCAGCTAGATCAACCTTATTGCCGACCACAACTATAGGTACGGCAGTGCTCGCTTTCACTTCATGAATCTGATCCCTCAACGCACGGACTTCGGTAAAGCTGTTCGCATCCGTTATATCGTATACTAGTATAAATGCGTCCGCGGATTGCATAGATAAAGTACGCATAGCCGGGAATTCATAAGCACCAGATGTATCCAAAATATCCAACGTCAATCGAACTCCGGACACATTGAAGTCGCCATGATGCATTTCCTCAATTGTCCTCTTGTATTTGAAAGAGAATGTGCCGTACAGGAATTGAGTGATCAAGGAAGATTTTCCGACTTTAGCTGCTCCAAGGACAACTATCTTGTGCCTTACAGCATTGTTGGTTAGGTTAGCGCTGTTAGCTACGGTGTCTTCAGTTCTTTCAGCCCGACTGTTAAGAAAAAAAAACCGGTATTAGTAATAGGATTATAACTAGAATGAAATGAAATATTTTAGAACCATAATTGATATCAAATTGTTTTAATAAATAAACTAAGTGTATAAATTCTTAACTAATTGAAAGTTGATTAACAACTTAGGAATAAATTAGGGTAGGTACAACAGTAACATTAAATAAAATCTATACTAATATTGTAAAGAGGAAAGATTTGTATTTTTGTACCTATTGAAATAACTCAAAAACTACTAGGTCGATTTCAAAATTCTTTCACCATTAGAAAGATTCAATCCCTACGGGAGTATGATAAGGAGATGATGATGATGATGATTAGAAAGATTCATTATTGCTGATATCATACTAATATTATAAATGCGAAAGTTTGGATGGATGGATGGATGGATGGATATTTGTTAGAGTTTGTAGCTTAAACGGCTGAACGGATTTCGATGAAATTTGGCATAGACGTAGAGGATAGTTTGGAAGAACACATAGGCTACTCAGTTTTTTTTAATTCCACGCGGACGGAGTCGCGGGTAAAAGCTAGCAGGCTTTATTTTTAAATTTCACCTGTACGAAGTCGCGAGCAACAGCTAGTCTAAATTAAGTTGAAAATTATGTGACAAAAGCGTTTTAACAGTTAATTTAATGTTGTTATTGTGTATCAAAGGCAACAATTTAACTTAAGTCGTCCCATTTGGAAGGTATGTAGCTAAGTGATAATTATGTAAATAAGCTAAAACAGTTTCGTACACATCTAAAACATTCTCCGACACTTGACAGTTATTGATGAGTACGCGACATACGAGTATATTAACTTGGGATGATTTATGGTTTACATAAAATCGAAATCAATCGCAAATAATGTGCGACTGTAACTGTTATGTCGAAAAGCTTTTCACTTAGACATATTTGTAAATATCTCGTGATTTTTACGTTTAAAAGTTTGGTAAATGCCAGAAAGTTTGTTCGTAAATTATGAAAAAAAAAACATAAACATCATATTCCCATAATTATTATAATATAAGATTTACGAATATATATTTACACTATGCACACTGAGTAACCATATACGCATAGAAGTTCAACAATCTCTGATTAATTAATTTAATTTGATTCAAATGCATTCTCTCTATTTTTTTACATTTCAATGTTTCCCGACCAATTTACGCAACAACAAATTCGTAAACAAACAACAAAGGCCTTCTTTGAAAAAAGAAAAAAAATCATTGATTTTTGCGAAAAAAATCGTGTTGGCTTTTGTTATCCACTGTGCAAACGATAAGCTTCAGCTATCAGATGGGCGGCGTGTCACCGTCGGTTATCGGTCGACAATCGTTTGTCACCGATCAATAACATTGAATACTACTAACTCACGCAAATGTTATGAATAATATAAACCATACATTGCAATGTGCAATACGTAGATCAAATCTGAAATCCGCTTAATAACGCCATGAAGCGATACAAAAAACGTTTCGCTGTCTTCTTATTGTGGTAATTAAATTAAAACAACATACACATTACAATTGGAACACTTGGGGAATTTATTTTAGTTTAAAATCGCTAGAAACGCTCAGTTCTAATAGGCAGTCTTAACTAAAATCGAAAACTGTGCCCCTGTAGACAACATTCTAACTACTACTTCGACATTTAAATTAAAAATATCATAACTAATATGTTGCGGGCTTAATACTCAACATTCGACACTAAGCTTTAAAACTTAAGTAATATTGTTAATCCTACACTAAGAGCATATTCTACTCATTGGATCATATTTATTTAATAACAATATTGAATACATTTTAGAAAGTATTTTCATTGTTACTTTCTTTCCTCTTATTTAACAGTTAAAAGCTTTTTACTGTCGAATAACTAGCAAATGGGATAGTAAGTTTTAGTCTTTCGAAGTAAATATAAAGGTACTTGAAGGGCTAATTTCCTGTCTTTTCTCACTCTTTCAACTGCCGCAGGGATGTTGAATAATTGAATTGCCTTTATCATGTCTTATATTAAACGATGACTAGATCAAAGGTTAATACAACTATAATAATCAATTCAGACATGAAAAACTATTTTATTAGACGTGAATCACAAATTAATTGACCATGGTACTGTAATTTTTGATTATACAAATTAGTTTTTTAAGTTAGAATCATAACGAAATGATTGGATGGATGTAAGGATGAATTCTAAGGTAAATGGCGAGTATCCAGGTTTCTCATTTTAGAAACCTTTCTAGAAATTATTACAAATAAAAAGTGATATAATTATACAATATTCTAAAGTATAATAACGTTAAAGATAATGCTCTTTTATTAATCTTCTTAGAAAACTAATTAAACTTTATTAGAAAATCAATGCTAAGTATATATGTAATATACTAAAGTACAATCTCTGTGTAAACAGCAAATGTTAATTTATAATTTATATATCTGTGAGGTCGTGGACAATATTATTGCCATTAGTGAACCGGCGATTGTCCCATTGTGACCGTTAATGGATGCAAAACACAAAGCTCAGTAAACGCTGCCCAGTTCGATGCAAATTACCCATGTTACAGTCCAATACTACGAGTACAAGATGTTGGTCGCTATTCCTCCGATATCTGTTAAAATGTCACAAAGAAGTACTCTACTGTATAGATTTTTTTACAGGAACATCAGATTTTATAATCTAACTTCTTACTATTATAAATGCGAAAGTTTAGATGGATGGATTGGTGGATGTTTGTTAGCGTTTGTAGCCTAAACGGCTGACCAGATCTCCATGAAATTTGGGACAGGTTTAGAGCATAGTCTGGAAGAACACATAGGCTACTTTTTATCCCTGGAGTAGTTACGGTTCCCGTGGGATTCATTAATTTAGTTTTTTAATGTTTACTCGATCATACTGCAACGGTTCAACATATTTTTTGAAAATATATTAACAAACATAACTTATTGAAATTTGGCACAGATATAAAACAAAGTCTGGAGTACACATGGGATAAGCTTCATCCCCGAGAAATGTCCGGTTCCCGAGGGATACGTAGCTTTTTGTGATTTTTATAGTTTGTATGTTTTCTAATACCACGCGTACAAAGTCGCGGGCAACAGCTCGTAAGTTAATAATGACTAGATGTTTCTGCGTACCAGGGTATTATTATTAATGTATCATTCAATTTTTACATTTTGAATAGGCTATTTAAATATTTTCATGATTATGTTGCTATTATCTTATACGAATGGGACTTACCGAAGTATCACGGTTTTGAAGAGATTAAATTTTTCAACCTCAACATATTTGGGAGGCCTCTTGGGATTTTAATGCGGGATAAGTACGGCTGGGAATATATTAAAATGGTACCGCACCGCTCCTAAGGCTGCATTAATACTCGTCACTCGGAACTGTGAAAAGACATTTCAAAAACTGATTCAATATGAAGCCTGTTACTTCCAGCTTTGAATTAATTTCCTAACCTAAATGAAACTCTTTTGGGGTTTTCAATATGATACTTGGATTTATGGCTCTAATCTGAAGGAACACGTGGTGTGTTTTAGAAAAAAACATTGTATCAGCTATTTTAACTAGTTTTTAAATTATCTAGGTCGAAAGGAAATCATTTTAAGGATATTTAACCCTTTATCTCAAACATGTCAAAGCAAAGTTTATTTCATAACAATAACATCCATTGTTTTACTTAAGATGTAAATGAATTCATTGATTCGACCTTTCTACTCTAATAACGACCCGGGGGTCACCGTCTATTAACTAAATTTTATTACTCACCACCCACAAGGTAAATTGTTCTTTGTCTAATTTGAACAATAAATAATTTAACGCGAGATATTGAAGCGATTTAATATTTTTGGAACATAAATAATGTTACCTATGATTTCAAAGATGTGAGCGATACTTTCTGTTAATGAAAACACAGACGATCGATCACAAAGGAATTTTAGAAGCGTTAAAATAGGAAGCAGGCAGCAGCAGAACAGGAAGCAGCAGCAGTACCGGAATTAGTGTAGGGCGTAGTAGGACCGCCTAAGACGTGCCACAATCTGTTAATTACGCACACATAACACTCTTAACAAACTAGTCATGGTAAAAAGGTGGTGCCATAGGAACCTTGCTATTACACCTAAAATCGGCATTGATTGCAAGTCTATAAAAAAATTGCTTCTTTTGGAAATTGTGGCTTACTTAAATTTACTTAAGACTATAGTCGTCATATTTTTATATTCCAAAATAAACACAGACACGTCTATATCCTCTTTAAGCGCTAGGTCGAAGTATCAAGAGTCTATTAACCTACTTAACGATACTTTTGTCAAGAGGCGAACTATATTGTCTTGCTGACAGGTTGCCAATTTACTTGCGTATTATTCCTTGTGACTAACACTTTGTGTAACATCTGATCATCTAGAATTCAAGAATATCTTGACTGGATTTAACATTAGGTTTTCACGGTTATATTTAAATCTCTTTTTAAAAAAAAAATAAATAATAGATTGAGTTTCTATACTAGAACTGTAGATCGTATGCTTCTGTTCATATTTCTTTAAATTTTCAAATAAAGTCTTCCAGACTATTAATTGAAAATAAAATATTTGTGAAATATAGAAAATAAATAAGTTTTCTTTGCTACATACTCTTCAAACATGCATGTTTATATATAGTTAAATTAAGAAATAATTATTGTTTATTTCTGTTCTTGTATTTTTCCTCTATCGGGGTAATTTACTAAACAGAATTAAAGATACATATCATTATGTTAAATCCGTAAATAACAAAACCGTTAGTATTATGGACTGACAACTACACCTACGTTACTAATTTTCATATGGCAAGCAAAACAATCTGAAGACGAAGTTACTCATCTCCGTGGGAGTGATAAAATATTGTCGTTTATAAATATAGGTACTCTTATACTTCATACCTTAAGTTTAAGGCATAAATCATAAATCTTTTAGACAACTTAATCTCTCTTTACTAATATAATAAAGCGTAAACACACACTTCTTTGTGGCGTAAGATTTCAGTAATTACAGCATATTTTTGAACAATTCTTTCTTTAATAAAAAGCCCTACACTTACGTCAAGCTTTAGGCTATATATTTTAACGCTACTTAACTTAGTGGGCAAATAAATTGGTTAAAACCCTAATGTGGGAAAGAGACCATAAGCTACGAGCTGCCAACATCAAGGAAGCACAGTTGCCATGTTTTATCACCATGTCATGTCATTTTGACATTTGCAATTTATAGATTGACAAATGTAAACAATAAAATAAATTTTTCATAATTGCATGCGGATGAAGCCGCACGGGAACAGCTAGTCAGTATTTAAAACGACCTCATATAACTTGAAAATCCTATATCGATTGATAATTGAACGAAAAAAAATTAACTTATTGATATATAAGGTTTATTATTGATATACATATTTACGGATATTTATGGAATTTACAATTTTCTTAATTAATAGTCAAATCAAATGTTAAAATAAAAACAATATACGCGTGTTATAAAAGTGTAGCTATACACAACACATATCACAACTTGTGCTTGAAAATTTAGTATTGTAGCATTTTTCCATTTTTAAAAAATGCAATTTTAAAATAAAAATCTTATGTAAAGGAAATCAAATCTGAGAAAATGAGATTCACTGCGACCGCATGCGTTAGTTTCCGAGAAAATATATACATCTAGTACTTCCACTTTGAATATAACATAGTGTAGACTTTCTCAACTTGAAATATATCTTTATAAAATATTATATTACCATTTCAATTTGAAGCGATGAATAATTCTGCTTCATTCCTTTGAAAATATACATAACACTAGCTGTTCCCATGTGACTTCATCCGCATAAAATTAAAACAATTTGCAAAAATGACAACCTTGCTTCCTTGATGTTGGCAGCAACTTATGGTCTCTTTCCCATATTTGGGTTTTTATCCAAAATATTTAACCCCTAAGTTTAATGGCGTGAAAATATATAGCCTAAAGTGTGAAGGAAGTGTAGGGCATGTATTAAAAATTATTCAAAAATATACTGTAATTGCTGATATCTTAGGCAACAAAGAAGTGTGTGTTTACGCTTTATTATAATAGTATAGATAACAGTAGTCGACTAAGTTAAAAGCAAATTTAGATTCAACTAGCTTTCGCCCGCGACATCGTCCGCATGAAAGTGAAGAAAAGTAGCGTATGTGCTATTCCAGATTATGCTCTACATCTACCATAATTTTCATCCAGATCGGTTCAAAGTTAGGCTAAAAACTCTGACAAACATCCATTCATCTAAACTTTTACATTTATATAATAGGTAAGATAAGATAAGGAACATGATGTAAGATTGTAATCTAACTTTCAATCGATAGATTTAATTATGTACGCATAATTAAATCTATCGATTTTAATTTACAAAATAGCAAAACTGTCTCAAGGTCTAATGTTGTTTCTAAATCGAGATACTGAGTCATCGAAGGCTTTTAAAAAAGCATTAATATGAAAGAATGGGTTATGGGAATAGTTTGTACACAGAGAGGGTGCGCCACCTAATTTTACGGCCGAAAACAAAATAGCTAAGTTAACTCAAACCGAAATCTGAAAGTTTAATCACTCTTAGAAGAATAATAAACATGAATAAATACTAATTAAGTTTATCTTTGAGAAAGTTACTTTGTTGCCTTAAAAACTTCTCTAAACAATTTTTATCTGAAAGAACAATTTTATATATCCAAAACAAGAAACAAGTAAATAACATAGCTTAAAGGCATTAGGTGAATAACTTAAACTACAAGTAGCTAACTACAAGAAAAGCTTTTAAACGATTAAAGCACTAATGAAATAAGTTATAATCCTTAGGAGGTTAAACTCGACAAAGATGCCAAAAGTTTTCGGCAAGAATTTTCTTATACGAACTTTCCGTTGAACAATGAACTTCGGGAAATCACAAGAAAAAAAGGTAATGAAACAAAGAGTATCGAGAAAGTAATTTCAAATCCAATCTAAAGTATATAAATATAAAAAGTACCTATTCATTGGAAAATTAAAATGTTCGTATAACAATAGCATAATTGTTAATCAGTTTGTTTATACATTCTGAGATCGCGTTCGAGTCCTGGCCGGTACCTTTCAATAAACATGAAATAATACGAGTACAAGAATAAAATGTTTCTCTTTCTTTGTGTCAAATTTCCTTGCCACTCTTTCCTTAAAATGAAAATGGAAAGGTACAAAATCTAGGCCTCCGGCACGCACACTTATCAAACGATATGCGGAATTACCCGCACATCACGCCTATCTTCATTGTGGTCATGGTATTAAGGGGTGCGAGCCGGTCAATTCGTGCAACAGATTGTTGTTGCTGGCATCTACCACTGTAAAAATCAACAACAGTCTAACGTCCTATAGTATCTTGAAATCTACGCCCTTATCTAATCGCACTCAAGTATTTTTACCCCATAAAGTGGCTAAATAAAATAACAATGTTGCTTTAATAAAAAATATCTCAATTCTAAAACGTGCCCTATCAAGACACCAAACAAGATAAGTGCGTTGGCTAATTCTCTGTAAAGCTGCGCGGGGGGAATCTATGCTAAATTG